TCCTGCTCGGAAAACAGCTTCCTCACTTAAAACAGGCACCTCAATTCTGGATGGCTAATTTCTGGACAAAGGGCATGCCATGCATGCAAGTAAACATGGTAGTTATAGATTACAACAGCAAGGAAAGTAATGGTCCCTACTTGCAGAAAGCAACCCGCGCAGAACCAGTGGGAGAAAAGAGCCACTATTGGTTCATGACTGGTCTCGGTAAGATCCTTGGGAATAGGTAGTCATGTATTATAGGTTACATACAGGATCTTAGGTCTATTCTGCAAGCAACAGGAACTGGCACGTGTAGAGAATAAGCTAAAATGCTGGATTCCTCTTGCACTGTTTATGTGACTGTCTCAAAACTCAGAGCTGCCTCTCCTTGGACTTTCACTGCACTCCCCTCAGCAATAGCCACAGACCCCCATTCAGTCGCAGGGTCTCTGGGGACTCCATCCCAGCTCCACCGGTATCTAAATCATACAAATGACTTGCATAAATCATAAGTCACCCATGATCAATCAACTGCTCATAAAGTATATCCATCTCAACCCGTGACAAGAGCAGAGGAAGGATGGGCGTTGCAGCCTGCTCGAGAGATCACCAAATCGGACCTCTCCTGGGACCTTTCCCAGAAATACCGGAGCGGCAGCGTCCACCCGCCCACCCCTCCGCCAACCTCAACTGCACGTCGCAGGGAGGGAGGCCACGTTGCAGTAATTGGGACTCACAGCACTTCCAGTCTGAGGGGTTAAAACCAGCACCTTGAATGCCAGCCAGAAGTTTATCAGCAACCCCTGCGGATCATCGAGAGCCAGACTAACGTGCTCCCCGCCGTGCAGGCCAGCCTGAGAAATGGGGGCAGCACCCTGCCCTAGCCACAGCTTCTGAGCGGTCCCACGCAGGGCACAACAGAGCGAGCCAGTCTCCAAGTGACAAGGGATGCAATGGCTGCAATGAAGTCCATTTTGGAGAGAAATCTTGCTGGTGTCTGGAGAGGGAGGTTCTTGTTGCCACAGCAACCGGAGCCAACGCCAGAGTTGCTACCAGGCAGCTTTAGGGACAGACAAAGCGCTGGAGTGCACTGCACTGGCGTGGACGCTCCTTCCCAGCAACAGCGATGCAAATTAAGAGTGGGATTTCAGACGACAGGGAGTCACGATCCTCTTCGTCACCTGCTCGCCTGCCCCCTGGAAAGCAGTCAAGACGACTCGGTCGGAGACAGGCAGCTGATAACATAACTTGCAGGGGATGGAGGAAGGCGGCACGGGCATTTCACGGTCCCCACAGGACAAGGGGATGGCGCACAACGTGGTCCGAGGCACTGCCAGAACAAACTGCTTGCATTGATGTTGGCAGGGGGAGAGACTCTTCCCTCTAAAACTGCTTTCTCTCAGCCCCTCTA